ACAACACGGGAGGGAGGATTCTATCAGAAAGACCCGGTGAGAACTGAACATGCTCAGTGGACACTGAATACTGACTGACTACGGTGATGGTATGTGTGGATAATTGGGGAGAGGGGAGAATGAATGCCATATCCTGGAAAAGGGTATATCTGGCTGGTTGGAATGCTGAACAGGAGCAGTCCACACTGCAACATTTTGTTGCAGATCCCATTTGTATCAATAGTCTAAAATATGGAATGAGGGACATAAGAACTGGAACAATTAAAGCACTAATATATACTAAGCTATTGGGTTGTTTTTTTAAAAAATGAAGTAGGTTCCTAGTCCTTAAGGTTTAACACCCAAGGGTTCTATGTTCTGAATAGTTAGTGTCTGGAGGACGAATGTCCCCCACTTGCTTAGTTCTATATCTTATTTATGCCCTAATCTTTTCTTACAAAAAGGATATACTATGATTCTGAAGATTGGGGGCTAGAAATATGGAAGCTCTTGGCCCTGTGAGCTGGCTGGGAGGTGGTGAGAGGGGGAAAAGCATGGCCACTGAGAGTTTGGCACCTGCCAAATGAAGTCAGTGCCAATTACGCACAAGCAAAATATGCCATAGAGCCAACAGACTTCCGGTTGCTGTCTCCTATTTAATATGGCCTTTGGCATCAGACAAGTTGCCCAACCATGTTTCAAAATCAGGATGATTACAGATTTGCGGATACTGAAGTGCTAGTGAAGTGGAAAAATCAATAGGTGATATGGAAACAGTAGGGAGAAATAATATCATCCATCTCTAGCACTGTGGCTTTAATTATTCTTTTTTTTACCTTCAGTTACCCCTGAATTCACTAGCTGAAGCTGAGGAACTTCTGAATAGGCACACACTATAATGGGCTATTCACAAACTATCCAAGTGTATGGATAATGTTGTAATACAGGTCAGTTATAATAAATAAGGCACCAGACTTATTAGTTTCATCCGGGTGGAGTCAGGTATTTCCTGTGTCTGACCTGCTCTCATTGGACAGAGGTACTTAAGTTCTTGTTTAGCTTCCTGGCTGTTATGTCCTCAACGCCTTCCATGACATTCAGAACATTGCAGGGGATGCTGGAGAAATGTTCTCATCCTTACATGCAGACCCCATCAGTACTAGACATTTAGAGCAGTAATTGTAGTGCTTTAAACAGTCATGGCTTCCCCCAAAGAATCCCGGGAGCTGTAGTTTGTTACGGGAGCTGAGCATTGTGAGGAGACCTCTATTCCCCTCACAGAGCTACAATTCCCAGAGTGCTGTAACTTTTGATCCCTCTTCCCAAGAAACTCTGGGAATTGTGGCTGTCTGAGCAGAGTAGGGGTCTCCTAACAACACATAGCACTCTTAACAAACTATGGTTCCCAGGTTTATTTGGGAGAAGCGATGACTTTTCAAAGTAGTATGATACAGCTTTAAATGTATAGTGCAGATGAGGCCTCAGCTCATAGAAGACCCTTGTCCTGACCTTTCGAGCCTCGCCACTGTTTTGCATGAACTGAGTGTGTTAAGCTGGAACACCCCCAGCCAAGACTGTTCTGTGGATGGATGAGGTAAGGGAAGGTTAGCAGTAGTAGTCAAGGCATCCTCCTAGGAAGCTTGTCTGCTCTGGAGCTCCCAGTAAGCTTCAGAGGAGTCCCCAAACTCCACAGGACACAGTTTGGAAACCACCGTTTTAGCAAATACTTCCATGGCCTTGGGGAATGCTAGCAGAAAATGTAGCCCATGAATTTCTGCATCCCATTTCCGTAGTCTCTGGTACCTATTTCTGTGCCTGTTTGCAAGCAATATTACAACGCCCTACTCCGCCATGCAATGAAGCCCATGTTAATCTGCTTTTACATATGCAATTAACTAATGTGTGAGAAAGCTCAGGCATTAATATTTAGTGGGGTTGGGTGTGAGCAGTGAATAGAATGCCAAGGACCTGCTGAAAAGGAAGGGCATCCATTGCAATCAGAGACTTTTTCAATGTGTAACTGTGTCATCCTAAATATATCATAGGATCACTGAGTTGAAAGAGGCGCAGGGGCCATTTAGACTACCCCCCGTTTTTTGCAAAGCTAAACCCATTCAATAATAGAAAGCTCCCTTACACCAAGGTGTCCCGTTTGCCCCTACAGCTCAATTCTGACACCACTGACTGGCAGTGGCTCCCCAAGGTACCAGGCAGGAGATTTACCTAGCACTACCTGAACCAGGGACCATCCGTATGCAGTCCTTCCACGATCTAGGAACTTAGATTGAGAGCCAATTGTCATTATACTCAATTGACACCGCTGTGGAGCATTTTGGGCCAAAAAGCAGTTTGTGATCTAATGCAAGCAAAATAAAGGAACTGACTAGAAGGCACCGTAAGTACAGAGAAGAGAGAATGGAAGGCAGCATTATATTATGTACTCACAAGGCAACATATGTGGGCTAGCATATAAGTAGTATTTCACAGTGTTGTTCCCCTTGCTGTGTGTAATGATGGTGGGGGGGGAGAGTAATAAGATATTTTTTATTATTGGCACCTTCATTTTGTTTTGTGGATGTAGTGGGTCAGACTAAGACAGAGGAGACCAAGGTTGAAATCACCACCGAGGGCTCATTCAGACTTCCTTTTGTCACATTTCTAGGCACAAGTCCACGCTTTAAAACTCCATCTCCAAGCCCTTTTTATTTTTTGCCCTACTGCTTTAAAGGTCAGTGTGGATGAGCTCTTGACTAGCTCACGGGCAGGAGGGATGGGGGAGAAATCTTGATTCAGTTCACCATTTAAAGACAAATCTATTGTAAATTGCTGCAGAAATATGGAGAACTGAATTTAAGAATGAGAAACTGAGAGAACTGAAATTGGCAATTCCTTCCAACCTTTCTGGCCAGTCACTCTCAGCCTAATCTGCTTCAAAGGGTTCCTGAGACAATAAAATGGGGGGGGCAGGGGCAACCATGAAGCTTGAGCTTTTTGGAGGATGCAAATCTAGTAAAGAATAAACTTTGAAGTGTTTGTTTAAGGCAAACTTTGAAGTGTTACTTAAATTATAACGTGACACGTTTTAAAATTAATATATAATATAGTTCACTTGAAGTGGCCTAGCCACTGTAAACAAACACAATGACCTGGAATGGGCGAACAAACATCATCCCACAGCAATGTTAATCATGCTAGCAAAATCTAGGGCATGCTTTCTGGTTGTCATCTATGCATGTATTCAAGGCACTCCAGGTTCCAAGCAAAGGCAGTGATCCTTAGCAGCTGCAACGGTAGCCTTTAGGGTCAGCTCCTGAATGTTGATCTTGTGCAGGTGGGATAGGCAGCTTCCTATGCCCCTATCAAGTGGTCAGTAGGGTGGCATTGGGAGAAGGCACCGGAAGACACCTTGTCCAGGGTCTCTTCCTTAACTGACTTCTGGTGGCGTAAGCTGGGGAAATGACCTACAACCCCCCCCCAAACTTTTCAACTGATTGCTACATCTCAGAGTCTGTAGTCAGGTGACCCTGACTTTATTAGGTGTTTGTCATGTGAGAAAGGGGTCCTTATTTCAGACTATATTTCCTGCCCATCTTTCAAAGACCCAAGGCAAAGCCTTTACTCTTGATTTGGAATGTTTGAGCTTGAGTGCACCTATGGAAATGACTGAAATCAGTTTTAACTGATTTTAATATTGCACTGTATTTTATATTGTTGTAAATTACATGATTGTCTTTAGTGCTCCTATAAAGGTTATTCAGAAATACAAGTTTCCCCATGCATGTTGTTCACATCTCCTGCCGGGTGTATGACAAATGCTTGCTAATGAATAAAACTTTTAAAGAGCAGGGCCACATTCTCCTGAAAAAGGAGAATATATCTGCGCTTTTCACCATGCTTTACTTTCCAGTTACTTTGTAGGCAGAGGAAGCAATAAAGATGGTGAAAAACTATAACAAAATAATTGCTTTTGTGAATCTGACTGGAGTCAGGACAGACACTGAACTGATTTAAGTATTTACGTTTTAAGTGATTAACAGTGCAATCCTATACAGAATATGTCTTCTCAGAACAAGTACCATACATTTCAATTGGTCTTCCTTCCAGGGTAGCAGGTGGATAGGATTACAACCTAAAGTTAAATAAATTCACATATTGTGAAGCCAACTTCTCATTGTGGGTGCCTTGCCAAGCTACTTCAGGAACTGTGAAATACCGGTAATTATTTTTTTTCCTTAAATGATAACTTAATACACAGAAAGCCTGTCTTTTTTCATTTACATTCCCAATTTAATGTATTTGGGCTTCTTTAATAGGAAGGACGGAACAGAAAATTTAATAGTAACAATTTCCCAAAAAAAACCAGCCTCACAAGAAGTAGCATACCTTTCATTTGCAGACCTGTTGCTTCAAACTTGCCCCAGTGACTATAATCCTAAACAGTTACAAGAGAGCAAGCCTCAATGAACTCAGTGGGAGTTACTTCTGAGTAAATGTGTGCCACACAGCTGCATTGAACTTCCCTGTTGAAGAAAACCTTCGAAAGAGGAAGCCTTCCTCACCATTTTAAACACAATTCTTTTTCTTTCCCCCTTCAGTTGTGTGGTACAGAAATCCCCTGGATGACGGCATTACTCTAGCCTTCAGTCAGATGAAGGTGGAAGCCCAAGCACGGAGGTCAGGGAGGATCCAAGCCTTGAATCCTGCTCTTTCCTCTCCATGACCCTGAACTTTGCTGCCTGGACCATCAAACAAGAGAAGCTGTTAACAGCGCCTTTCTTTGACCCCCCCCCAAGTTCCTGCCCCCATGCAGCGTGCTCCAAAGACTCCACTCTCTCTCTCTCTCTCAAATGCAAAACTTCCCACTCGCATTGCTGCAGAGCAAAGCATGCAGGGGAAAGAACAGACACTCTGGCTCCCTTTCTCTCTGCCAAGACATGTCTCTCAAGCTATTCTCCGCAGCTCAGGGCTGGCTGGCACACCTGCTGTAGTGCGAGGCTTCCCAAACCTGTTCCCCCACGTACCTGTTGGCTGGGGATCCTACTGCTACGATGTCTGTCTCTTTCGCCGGCACACCATCCTCCGAGTGCAGTCGATCAGTTTCACTCTGGTCTGCCTCACCCACTCCTGGGCTGGTCTCCGATCCCCACTGCAGCGTAGCTGGGCTCCCAGTGGCAAGAGTCAGTATTGGCCCGCACACCTTACAGGTTCCCACCCCATGCAGCCCTCTGCAGTTTTGGAATTCCTCGCTCGCTGACAGCTGGGTAGCTGGTCTGGCTGGTTCCTGGTGACGTCGCTCCTTTCTTTTCTCTAACTCAGCAACCCCCAGAGAAAGTGTTTCCTCCCCAGACGGGTGACACGGCAGGCTTCTTTCACCACAACTGAATGTGGGTTCTGCTTCAGCCCTCTCCGCCTCCTTGGTCATTGTAATCATTATCTCATAGCGGATCTTTGGGGCATTCTTGCCCAGGCTGATTTTAATGGCCGAGGCAGAATCTGCTACCTCCAGAGGCTGATCAACAGGTGGGCTTGCTGTGGCCGACTTAGCATCCTCTGCACCATCAACATGCTCAGAGACGGACTCTCCAAGGCCACTGCTGAAGCTCAGGTTCTCCATCTGTTCTGTAACAACAGGGTGGGACATCCCCATGGTCAAATACCCTTCAAATACACTTTCAGTCCACTCTGAGGCAGACTTGGGGGCCTTGCTGCTTTCTTCCAGGACTGATGGGAGCTTGAGGGCTTCTCCTTTCATTTCGGGAGCCGCTGGGCAGCACAGAGAAGAATTACTGATGGAGAAAGACCCTTCCCAAGAGCTTCCATCTCCCCAACAAAGCAAAGAGTCAAAGGATGTGGAGGGTTCTGGGCTGGTCCCTAGAGAGTGTGTTTCACTTAGCCTAGATGAAGGCTCAGGTCTCTCCTGCTTTTCAGATTGATTTTCAGCAAGATAAAAATCAGCCCTGCTCCTCATATCCATGTCACTGCCAACAGCTGGTCTCTGAAGACGCCCCATTGACCAAGGATTGCTTGCCAGGTGCCCAGGGTGCTGAGAGAGTTCAAAATGGCTACTCTGCCGCTTGTGCCAAGTGAGGTTCCCAAACTTGCGCAGTAGGCCATTCCTCCACAAATCAGGCTCCGAATAACTGAGAGCCTGGGTCTGCAGGATGGGAAAAGAAACTGTGAGAAGACAGAGACTATGAAAGGGGGGTGGGACAGAAACCCTGTATATGCAACAGTTGAACAAGATTATATATGTTTGAGTTGCCTGCAGCTTTGCAAAAAGATCCACAGCAGTAAGTAGCTTGTATAATATTTTACTAGCCTTCATCCCTGAATTTGTCAGTGTTATTAACTTTTGGCTTAAAAGGGGAGAAAGCCCAGCAGTTTTACAGCTTTCCAGCATGATTACCTGGAGGCAATTTTTATGAACCATAGGTGACTAGACTGATGTATTTTTACAAGCTTGGCGGCATGTTATTTGCTGAATGGAAATGCTTGTTTAAAAAGTATGAGTTTTGCAGTCTTTATCAAAACAACGCATACATAAACACAGAATGCAAGAATAGATACCAGCATTAACTGCCCCTCCCATAAATCCCAGATGTAGAATCAATATGAATAAACACTGAGCCAAAATCACTGAATCAAAATTTCCAACTATAATAAATATTTTGCCTTATACTTGTCTAACTTAGACTGATCTTGTCCATCAATCAAACAAAAAAATGGAAACTAGTTATTCACAAATTGTTTGTGAGCTATTCAAACTACCAAAAGCCATTAAAAGTCAATCAAAAACAAACTTTGGCACAAGCTAAAAGATAATGGAAGAAAGTTCCAAACCTGGGGTGCCACCACCAGGAAAGCCCTGTCTCTGGTAACTACCTAGCTCACCTTAGAGTGGGATGGAGGACTCAGAGCTGGGCCTCTGGTGATTATCTTAGACATGGTTGGATCCTCTGACTGGATCCATCAGCTGATGCATGGGGAGATCAGTCCCGCTTGGTCACTATATCCCCCCACATTCACTGGCCAATTTTGACAGACAGGTGGGATTTTCCTCCTATTAATCACCTGACACTGATAAGAAGTCAGATATTGACAGGTGCTGGTCCTGCGCTCCTGCCAACTTTGGCCTGTGGGGTGGGAGAAGTTAAAAGATTTGGCCCACCAGGCCAAAGAGGTTCCCCACCTCTGCGGTAGTAGTTTCTGTTGTCTGTGGAATGTTCTCCCCAGGAAGGCCTGCCTGGTGCTAACTTTGTGGCCATTTTGGCGCCAGGGAACTATGCTTTTGTTTTCCCAGCACCAAAGACTGAGTGTTCTTACTCTGTTTTTAATTAAGCTTATGTATTTTTATTGCTATATTTTAGTTGTCTTGTAAATTGCTTCAGGACCTTTTTGTTGTGGGAAATTACCCATTGGTTCAATAAACCTAACCTAACAAATAGCCATTAACTCTAATTCTAGCTTTGCTGTTCTGCAAATGCCCTGAACAGGGATGGCCGAGATGTTTTCCTGCCTGAGGAGAAGGACAATACGGCACTACTCTTTCTATATACAAAAGGCAAGCAAGCTGGCAGTCCAATCTTACTACAATACTGATGACGGGACAGCATCTTCCATTGGGCCTGAGGAAGGCAGGTTCAGGAGACACAGGGAAGGCCGTGTGACACTCACAACTCTGTCTCCAAAATCTTGGCACTCTCTCAGTCTCCTGGCAGCTGCAACCCAAAGCAGCTGCTTCACTTTGCCTAATGGGAAGCAAACCTTTGCTGGCCCCTGGGAGAGGATTTTAATTTGCAGAGTAGACCCTTAGGGCAGTTTTATACAGTCAGCTGTATTTAGGGATGTCAGAGAATTCCATCGGAAATGGGAGCAGAAATTGCCATAATTTATGTGTTTGTCCAGGGTCAGGATGGAATGTGAGTGGCATTCTCTATTGGTTTTTTTTTTTTTTTAGTCTGCAAATAATAACTATGATTTCTGCATTGTTTGTTTGTTTTTGACATTTCCCCTCCATTGAAATAATTACATTTGTTTTGGTCATAGCAGAATAGCAGTTAGCTAGATGGACAAGGTAGGTTTTGGCGAAAGAGAAACAGCACTGGCTGTGAAGAACACAAGATGGAATGGAAAGCCCTGCCTCCTTACATTCCTAGCTGTGGGGGGGGAAATTCCTGGACTAAGTAGTCTGCAGCCAAAAGAGGGGCAACTTTTGGACATTGGCCTATAGGAATCCTAATATAGGAAGTCCCCTTTTTGTTCCAAGAAACCTCAAAATTCTGTACTGAAATAAAACCAATAGAATGTATGCTGCTAAAAAAAACCCCGACAACAACTTGCTAATTAGTAATCAAAAGTTAACAAAATATACCCGAACCCTACGCTACCTGAAAATAAAGATAATTTTATGGAGTTATAATGTTGTTTTCTGGATTACTACCATTCCCTCCTCTCTTCTCATCTCCTTCCTTCCGTTCCTTTTCCTATCTTGCTTCAGTCTTTTTTCTTTCTCTTTATTGTTAATTGCTTTTTTTCATTTAGAAATGAAAATAAAAATTATTACAAAAAAGCCCCATACTTTTTAAGTATGACCCTATATTCAGAAGCTTCAATTACTTTTTAAGGGAGATTTGGTCGCAAGAACAGAAAAACAGGGCAGGAGGGCTGCATGGGAAAGCGAAAAGGAGGGCAAGACAAGCCACCATGCCAGGCACAGAAGTCCCATCTCTTGCAGCCTTTACCAATACACTGCTCGCTTATTTTCAAGTTTTCGGTTCACAGCCATGAGGACTAGCCACATAGCTTTCGGAATTTCAATTTAGCATTGAGATTCTCAAGAATCCATTTCTTTTGTATTCAACAAGCCTAATTATACTGGAGTATCTTTTTCTCCCCAAGCCAGATTTTTCTGAAGCAGGTCCTAAGTCCTGCAGCCAACTGTTGGCTATTTGTAGTGATACTGATTAGGCACATAGCAGCAGGGCGGTTTGTGTCCTTAATGTAATCCTCACTATCCCCCTTGACATACCAGCTAGTGGGTGGTTCCACTTGTATCAGCTGAACCCTGCTGGGATTTGGGCCCTGCCCTCCCTCACAGCAAAGCTCCAGCTGCTACAAAACAGCCCAAGGGTGCTCCACCCAGAGGAGCTGCTGATGTAGCAGGAAATCACTAGATAATAAGCGGCCAAATGTGCACATTCCACACACACCTTTGGAGATTACAGCTGCCACCCAAACGTGTCTCCACCTCCATGTACTGTAGGTAAAGCAAGCTGGCCTCTAGAGATGGCTGTGACTGAAACGGGGGCGATTCACCCTACGATCTTCAAAGGAAGCACTAGAGGAGATACCATCTCCTTCTTGCTAGACCCACAGCTAGCAGAGAGAGAGAGAGAGAGAGCGCCAAAAGAACAACTTCCTCCTCCGTAGTTCAAGATGTATTTTCTGCTGGGGAAGCATCATGGATTCATGGGTCTAGAGCAGGCCCTTTAAAATCAATGCATGTGACTAACTTGAGTGCTAAGTTCATTGGGTCTACACTGAGCAGAACTTAGCTGGATATAACCCACAAGAACCTGCCTTCCAAATCAGATCATATGTCTTCGTAGCTCAGTATTGTCGACGCTGACTGGTAGGGTTTCAGAATGGAGCTGTTCCCAGTCCAGCATGGAGATGCCAGGGCTTAAACTGGGAACTTTCTGCATGCTAAGCATGTGTCCTACTAGTAAGCTATGTGGCAAGATCTCATTTAGCTCAGATGGGTGGACATCTCTGGCTTCAGGGACCATAAGGGAAGCACTTGGGAATTTTTGCAGCCCACACATTTCCTTTTCTAAACTGTGTAGGTAATGGAAGGGGGGAGGAAACGCCACAGGTGTATTCGCTCGCTAGATGAGCTCAAAGCTTCAGGTGAGTTGCTTTGTTCTGCCCCTGGGTGAATTAGTTTGTGGCTCGCCCTTCTGCTCACTCCCAGTGGAGCATGCCATCATTTCCTGAGAACTCAGAGGCTTCAAGGTAGCTCTCCACCCCAACAGGTTCCTGTACCAGTTGACAGTGACACTGCCACAAACATGCCAAGGAGAAACTTTTCTTCTGAGTAATTTGAGTGTCACACTAAATTAATAGGACAAAATATCCTACCTTCCAGGCCTGTTTATACCCATCAAGAACCCTAGGACAACCAGGCATTGGGAATTTACCTTTGTGCAGTAGGATAGTTAATACAGTGGTACCTTGGGTTAAGTACTTAATTCGTTCCGGAGGTCTGTTCTTAACCTGAAACTGTTCTTAACCTGAAGCACCACTTTAGCTAATGGGGCCTCCTGCTGCTGCCGCGCCGCCAGAGCCCGATTTCTGTTCTTATCCTGAAACAAAGTTATTAACCTGAAGCACTATTTCTGGGTTAGGGGAGCTGTAACCTGAAGCGTATGTAACCTGAAGCGTATGTAACCCGAGGTACCACTGTACACATGTTCGTACATCCTGCTGTGGGCAAGCCAGAGTTCAAGGGCCCACTCCGTCCAGGCAAGAATGCCAGGAGGGTTTGAAGAAGCAAGGCTGATGAGAGGTGCAGCCTGGGAAGAGGGGTGTGGTTGGGGAGGGTGTGGCCAGAGAAAGGGTCCTGAAGGTTCCCCACCCCTAATTTAATAAATCCCCGGTGGTGGGGGGAATCCTTGTTCCTCTTAACCTGGATAACATCGTTCCCCCCCCCTTCTCTCAATGGAATAACATTTTATACAGAGTATCATGCAGACTAGAGTGTGTGCAACAAAGGGACTTTACCAGAACTGCAGGACTCTTACCAAGATATAAAGCAGCTGCACTTCTAGATTATACAGTACTTAGTAACTTCTTTTTTGTGCTCCTCCAAAGTGCTCCCTTCCCTACAACTGCTTGTGAAACTCTTTGGTTCTTGTGGCTCAGTTTGTACAATCTACACACATGCACTCACACACATGCCCCAGCCCAGATTTCTATTTTGTTTTGGTTTTCTCCTATCTGGCAGCTAACTTTCCTTGGTTATTCAACATACTGTTTTGGGTTTTTTTGTCCCCTTATGATTTTTCCCTTAACTATATTTATATACTTCTACAAAGCCAAATGCTTTTCTAAGCTTGCTGATGCCTTTCTCTTACTTATCAGAGTTGGCTATAATCCTATTGGGCTGTTGGCACTCACCCACTTATGGTAAGTTCACTATTAAAATGAGTGGTGTCTGACATACCTCTGTTTTGAAGGTGTCTCAGAATGACTATTTCTTAACCAAAGGCACTGACTCAAAGACGTTAGCAATTAAGGTAAGCAAAATGAACTCTGCAAAAGCCAAATCTATAAATAATATTCACTCAAAGGCAAGCAAGATGTGCTTTGCAAGAGCTGAGCTGCTACATCAAACAAGTCCAAGAAGGATGCTAGATCAGAAAACACTGCATGATCACAGGCTACATATAGGTTAAGCAAGACAAGCTTTGCAAGTCTTCTTCTGCTGCAGGGTGCTGGAGATTAAAACATGTAATCAAAGTCTTAAAATGGCAAAATAAATTACAAGTCGGATCTGCAACAAAATGTTGCAGTATATGATTCTGCTTCTTCTAGTTTCCAGTCTCCATTCCATTTCCCTTCCCTGGTTTTCTGTTTTTCCACCCAAAGTCAGTATTATGTGTCCATTGAGCATGCTCAATCCTCACTGGACTGCCTCCCCACACTCTTTGGTATTTTTTCTTACAGTTTTTTGTACTTCACCTAACCCCAAGCTTGCTGGTGTGGCGCTCTTTTGGCTACATTTGCAACAGCATTCACTGCCTGAACATTGGAGACAGAGGGAATAATCTTAAATGTTTTACTGAAGTGACTGTTTGCGTGAACATGATTTGAGGCATGATTTGAGAATCAGGGTTCCACTCCAATGTCAATTTGCTGGTCTTAATTCATGCTTTAAATTATGTTTGCAATCTGCTTGGTTAGACAGGCACTGTATAATGCTCTGAATGAATGAATGAATGAATGAATGAATGAATGAAGCACATGGTGAAAGAGATGGGATACTTCATTTTAACACACCCTTTAAGCACTCTGATTCTGAGTACCAAAAAAAAACCAGTTGAAGTGTGCTAAGTAAGGAGGGATAACATGGCACAAGGTGTTTCCAGACTGTTGCTGTATTCAGGTGAGACTCAATCCCATACTGGCAAATCCAGGTTGCACGACTGAGCTTATTTTGGAGCTCTTGCACAACAAACCCACTTCTCCCACAAAAGTGGGCTTTCTGGAAGTGATGGGGAAATGAATTGGAAAGAGTGGGGAGTTAACACTTGCTTTGGCACAATGTCCCCCCCCCCAAAAAAACCCCCAACAAATCCCAATGAATGCTTGTTGAAGAGCCAATGTTGTCTAATTTCCCTGCAAACCAATTGGGATGAAAGCTCAATAAACGGGACACCTTGAAGTGCCCACACTTACTGAAAGGAACTCTATTGCAAAAGGCACAGGCCCATGCAGTTGTGCTTTGCTTCCAGCAGAGGGCATCCTTATCTTTGGGGAAAAGAAGCTGTATGCGCCTTGACATAACTGAAAACTTTTTCTTTTTAACGAGGGACAGTCATAAAACTATAGAATTGTAGAGTTGGAAAGGACCACAAGGGTCATCTAGTCCAACCCCTTGCAATGCAGGAACCATTTGGTTCGAACCCATGACCCTAAGATTAAATTTCGTGGCTCTACAAAGTGAGATATTTTGTTGACTATTCATGTTATCGGCTTGCTAAATTAATGCTGTTCTTCCATGGTTGTTTTTTAATGCATGGTTGACATGTATGTCTTTATATCGCTGAATGGCATATTTATTATTGTTAACTTGCCTCAACATAATTTTGAAATAAAGGAGGGAGAGAATAGCTGTCAAAATACATTAAACAAAATATGTACTGACTTAGCGTATAGGTGGAAAGAGCCTTTTTCGGCTGAGGGGTGCATTCTGTTCTGTTCAAGGTCACAGTCCAGCCAGGCCAACACTCAAAAGAGATTGCACTGTGGGACCAAGTCCCCCCCCCTTTTTTTGAGATATTAAAAACAAACTGTTCCCTTGTGTGCCCACACAAAACACAGCTGGCTGGGTCATTTCCTGATTTAGTGTGGTGTAGAATATAGGAATATAAGAAGCTGTCTTATACTGAGTCAGACCATTGGTCCATCTGGCTCAGTATTATTTACATTCTCCAATGACCAGTAGCAGTTCTCCAGCATTCCAGGCTGGGATTTACTCCAGCCCTTCCTGGCAACTGAACCCGGGACCTTCTGCATGCAAGGCAGGAGCACTGGCCACTAGCTATAGCCCTTCCACATAGAAGGCAGGGTGCTGGGCTTGGACTGGAAAGGCCAGGTTTAAATCTGTGAATTTCACTAGGTGATCATGGACCAGCCTCTCCCTCTCAGCCTAATCTACTTCTAGGTTGTGAGCATCAAATGGGCTAGCCTGGTGCATGCTGCCTTTAGTGCCCTGGAGGGACAGTGAACTATAGAGATGAGACTGACAGGTGATAACAGAGGAGACTAACTGCTGGGCCACCACAAGCACAAATCAGCACACATAAATGTATATCAGCTGTGTGTCACGGGAAGGCAACTGAGTTATGTGACATGCTTCAATCAACAGTACAAAGATGGAAGGTATCAAAAGCACATCTTATCCATCCCACTAAGAATCACCTTGTTGGGTTAGACTGAAAATTATTCTGCACCATCCATAATTGGAGGGTAGACAAAGGGTTAAGCTCTTATGGCTGATTTCTCCCCCCCCCCCCCCCCCGCCACAAGTGAACCACCATTAAGAGAGCAGCTTAATGTTTGGGTTGCTGTATGTTGCTCTATTATTGCTCTTTCTGTGCTATTGTTTTGATTGTGAATACTAATGCTTGTTTTAAAACGCTTTCAGTATATTTTTCACACTGCTTTGGAAAGGTATTTTCTATTTTGATAGGTGGCCTAGAAGCATTTTCAATAAATAAATAGCTGTCCTATATACATATATTCAGAGCAACCCGATACCTATATACATGGGTATGCTTAGAAGCAAGCCTGATCAAATTCTCAGGTGATTGTGTATCATATTATTAAAAGCAAAACTAAATAAATAAATACAAGTTAAAGAGAACTACCTATCAATTGATTAACTAAATTTTGACTTATTGATCATATGAGTTTAACTGATTTAATCAATCAAATCTGCATTGATTAGGAATGAAGAAGTTGTTCTGGCGGAAAATATATTTCCCTGTTTCACACATGTGTCACAGCAAGCATTACCTCAGAGGAGCCTTTCCTTAATGCTGAGTGGATTTTACACTTCTGACTTTGCTTCTTGTTTGTATTGATTGCAGGTTTTTTTAATTGGATGTTTTATGTTTTTAACTTGAAAGCTTCTTTGGGGACAAAAAGCAGGATAGACATTTTAAATATAAATGAATAAATAATGCCTTTCTGTGTGAGTAGGATGCATGTGTCTTTTCTCAGAAGATGCTTATCACACATAGATGTGTAATTATTTGCCTTTAGAATAATTAACCATTATTTAGAAAATCTGATACTTAGAGGAGCATTTAAAAAACCCAAAGGATTTTTAATCGATATAAATGATTACTCAACTAAGGTGCGATCCTGTAGTCCTTTGGTAGGCATGAATGAGTGAATCTCCCTCTCTCTCTCCTTGGAAAGGGAGCTCTGCCACCATTGTTGCTTCACCATATTTGTCCAATGGCAGTAACAGTAAAAAAAGGGATCTTATTCCAGGTTGCTGGAGGGAGATAGAGGGAAGCTTTGGATTCACTGGATCCTGTTTCCCTGACACACCCTTGGAAAAGGGTTGGGGAACAAAGTATGCAAGCACCTGTTTTTACTTGGTTTGTGGGTTTCAGCCATGCTTTACCTATAATTTTATTTCTGCACTGCTTGGAGATTTTTATGATCTAGTGGTTTATAAGTTTTCTAAATAAATAAACAAACCAGAATGCAGCACTTTTCCCACTTGTAATTCCCAGCAACTGGAATACAGAGGGATACCACCTCCGACAGTAGAGGCAGAACATACTCAGAAGTAAGTCCCACTGGGTTTGCACTCCTCACAACCTCTCCTGCCCTAAAGAAGGCCCTTCCACAGGTTCTTTGACAGCAGTGGGGCTCACCTTCGATGCCGGCTTCTGTGACCTACTGCAACTAGGGGGCTCCATAACATGCTTCACTTGCACTGAGGTTACATCCTCCTCACTTGCCCTGGAATGAAATTGAGAAAGAAGGATTGGAGCCAGAAGGAAGGTACACAAGAGGCCACAAAGGCTAACTGTCTCTCAGCCAAATAATTGCTTCTGCTTCCCTTTTTCATTGAGCACTTGCCCATCCCAGCCACTCACTATATGAGGGGTGGAGATCCTTTTACAACCCAAGGGCTGCATGCCCTCTTGGAGGGGGGGTGTTTCCTGAATTGTGCCCTCTCACTCATGCTTTGCTGTTCTTAACTATCGCCTGTCCTTGCTGCCACCAGCAAGAAAGGTAATATTTTCTTATATTTGGTATTTCAAAATATTGTCAACAGATAAGGGCTCAGGTAGTGGTTGCTCTGAGCTGAGAGAGAGGAAGTGAGAGCAAAACTATAATCTGACGCTAATTGTTCATTGAAAGATGATCCCTACTGAGCTCCCTGGGATGACTCAGCTGTGGCCTGTTTCCTGAAACAGCTCCTGTTGAAATGCAAACAGAGCAGAGGACAGGAGCATATCAGCAAACTGCAGAGTGGAAAGGAAGGATTGCCGAGGGCTCCTGGACAAATCTCCAATGTCCTTCTTGTTGCTGATTATGACCCAAACGTCTATTTGTCAAAAAAAAAAATGTTGGCATTCAGGTGCACCTGTCATATGTGCTTTACTGGATAGCTCACTCAGTAGAGCATGAGACTTCTTAATTTTAGGGCCATGAGTTTGAGCCCCATGTTGGGTAAAAGATTCCTGCCTTGCAGGGGGTTGGACTAGATGACCCTCGTGGTCCCTTCCAACTCTATGATTCTATCACTGATCTGCAGCTGTTCCCTGCAAAACCTCTGTACAGGAAGCTGACTTATGCCAAGTCAGACTATTGGTTCATCCAGCAGTTATTGTTTGCAATGACTAGCAATGACTCTCCAGGAATTTTTCCCTATCCTTCCTAGAGACTGAACCTGGGACCTTTTGCATGCAAAAGAAGTGTTCTGTGCAGGGCTGTCCCAATACATTTTGCAGAGGGCAAACACATTCCATATACAGAAGCAAGCTAGTTTAATGGAGCCAGGGCATGCCATATTGCATACATTCCTCTGTTCTTCAAAAGAGGAGAATTGCCTAGAGAAGGCACAGTCATGGGTCTACCGCCACTGGTTCCCAATAGGAGAGCCACTTCTGGCTCTTCCACTGAGCCACGGCCTCTCCCCAGTTATAAACTTATGCATACTCCCCCAACACAAAAATGTGCAGATATATTCAAAAACACATCTGAGCACCTCATTGAACACATTTGTAAAATGAAACAAAAAAACCCCTTCCCCTACTGTATATAAATAAGTACGTAGCTTATGTCCTGACAAAGGTATAAAGGTGAATCTTCACATCTGCACATTTAACTGAATTTCATAATGCAGCTCTCAAACCAATGTTTACAAAAATATGTGTGGGGGGGAGTTTGCATTAAAATGCATATAATTTATTTAATTTTTAGATTTATATACTGCCCTTCATCATAAGATCTTGGGGCGGTTCACAAAATATTCATGAAAATAACGTATAAAGATGCAATATATTAGGGGATGCTGCTTGCAAAAAAAATGTGTAATTAGCCAAAACTGCATACAAAGAACATTGCACTAAAATATGAATTTTCAAAAGGATGCTAACAAATAATAATCTCCGATTCATGTGGAAATGTGAAAAACTGAATTTAAGACTGGGGGGGAGAGAAATTAAGATAACGCATGTTGACAGATCCCACCCTCCGCGTCCTTACTCCTGACCCAGGGACACTTCCAGGCCTATCCTAGTACACTCACCCTTCCGAGGTTCTCTTCTTCCGAGGCCTCATCCTCCATTTCCCTCTGCCGCCTTCATCTCTCACTCCTGCCAACCTGGGACCCTCATCTTCATTTTCCCGCCTCTGCTGCAGCTCCTTCAAGCTCAACTCACTCCTTGAGAAGAAGCGAGAAAGCCGCCTTTTCAGACCCTCTTTCTTTGCCATGATGGCAAACTGAGTCCTGACCTCCAGGCCTGAGGGAAATGAACTGCTAGAGGAGGACGGGCTGAGGCTGCCGCTACACCCTGCCTGCAAGCGAAGGCCAGGCGGGTGGCTCTTTCTGTAGCCAGAAGCGCTTTGCTTTTCCACCTTCACACTCCCTCAGCCTGAGGAGGCGGCCCACCTGTTGGGGAGGATCCGGGTGTGAAAGGCGTGACACCTGCTGACAGATCCAGGCGTGCCGCTTTGGGAGCAAAGCCAAGGGCAGGCTCCGAGGCCTACGCTGGAGAGGGGAGCGGTTTTAAGTTCCTGGCTGATATTTCTCCAACTTGGGGGTGGAGGGGGGCAGTGTTCGCCTGGTCAGGAGCAGCCTAGAGACAAATGTGCCGTTCAGAGCCCCAAAGGAAAGGTGGAGAAGGACTTTGGAGCGAAGGTGCCTGAGGAATTTGAGAGGTGGCGGCTGAGGGATTAGGTCATAATAAGGTTCCAGCAACGGCAGCCGAGAGTAAACAAAGCAGCCACTGGTAACTTATTGAGGAAAAGCTACCGGTTAATTTATGGGTTCAAGAGGAAGGTGCTGGTATTAACCTTTAAAGCCCTTAATGCAGCCTTTGCCAACCTGGTGCTCTCTAGAAGTTTTTGAACTACAACTCCCATCAGCCCTAGCCTGATGGTCCATACAAAACAGAAAGGAGAATGGGCTCTGGTACTCATTAAGGCCACACACACAAAAATTCAAAGTTGTATGTGTTTTGGTGTTAAAAACTTCTTTTGTTTGGTCCTACTACTTTTTCCAGCTAGCTCTGGTCAGATTTTAAGAATGAAGTGTTTTTGAATTCCAAACTCCCAAAGAAGGGTGGGGTTTTTTTTAACTCCAAAATGCACATTAATAGATTTGCACTAGCAACCACTGGAGCATGTATGTTCTCTTTGTTTTGGGTAGTTGTTAGCTCCACTCTAGACTTTCAGGCAGTGAGGTTCAAAGTCTGGGGAGAGATTCTTCATGTGTTTGACTGAACATGTTTAGACTCCTTGGCGCAACCAGGAATTCTGCACAACTACACGAACCTGGGGAAAATTCCCCTTCAGAATTTTATGCTCAACTGGAGGAAGTTTGAGGGTGGGGGTGGAACAGACAGGGCACCAAGTGTGGGGCTAGCATGGCCACCTCTGCACACTTTGGCCACATTCATGCCATAAAATTAAAAGAACCCTAATACTACTTTAAAGTCATGGCTTCCCCCAAAGAATCCTGGGAGCTGTAGTTTGTTATGGGTGAAGATAGTTGTTTGGAGACCCCTACTCCCATCACAGGGGACGCGGGTGGCGCTGTGGGTAAAAGCCTCAGTGCCTAGGGCTTGCCGATCGAAAGGTCGGCGGTTCGAATCCCCGCGGCGGGGTGCGCTCCCGCTGCTCGGTCCCAGCGCCTGCCAACCTAGCAGTTCGAAAGCACCCCCAGGTGCAAGTAGATAAATAAGGACCGCTTACTAGCGGGAAGGTAAACGGCGTTTCCGTGTGTGGCTCTGGCTCGCCAGAGCAGCGATGTCACGCTGGCCACGTGACCCGGAAGTGTCTCCGGACAGCGCTGGCCTCCGGCCTCTTGAGTGAGATGGGCGCACAACCCTAGAGTCTGTCAAGACTGGCCCGTACGGGCAGGGGTACCTTTACCTTTACCTTTTTACTCCCATCACAGAGCTACAATTCCTAGAGTTCTTTAACTGTCAATTCCTCACAGCAGGGAACTCTTGCTATTTGCAGCTCTTTGAGAATGTGGATCTCCTAACAGCTCTCAGCACCCTTAAGAAACTACAGCTCCCAAAATTATTTGGGAAAAACCATGACAATAAAAGTGGCATATCAGTACTCCAGATGTATGGGGCAGACTTCCAGTCTCTTCCCACATGCAGTCTTTTGAATGAATAGGGCTTTAGTGTATTGCATTTTGAAGAAGTGATTATAAATGGGTCAGTTCTCAGACTTTTTTTGGAAACAGTCTCTCACAGTGCAATTCTATGCACTCTTAATGGAGAAGTCCTGGTAAATTCCATGGGACTTACTTCTGGAGAGACACACTTTAGATTGTGCCATAAGTAGCTTTTGTAGGTACCAAATTTCAGGAATGGCAAAGAAACACTTCACCCCAGCTGGAGATCAGAGATAATGGCAAAGAAACCCATTAAGTTCTTCAAATCCTCTCTTAATCACCTAACAATCCATTATCCTTGGGGCCACTACAAGCTGGACCTTGTCGGATATTCTCAAAGTGGACATTGCTGTGAGAGACGTCTAACGCTCAATGGCCAGTTGCGTGAATCTGCCCAGAGTCAGAGTTGATAAATGGCTAAAAAGTCAACACCACTTCCTAAAACGTGCTTAACACAGTCTGTTGTGTTCATTGAATTGTGTTCAATGTACGCAAGTCCCACTATTGGCCCACTCACTGTGCTAAAATTAAATGTAATGAATAATGGCAAAGCTTTGCTAAAAACACTGCAGATTCAGATATCCAAACATCCAGAGTTTGCCTGCTTCCTTATTTCCCTGCTTGTTTCTGCTTTGCTGGTTGGCGACAGCCATTTTCATGCAGAAACCAGGGTGGAAGGTAGGGAGATTGGATGCATTGGAGAGCAGGAAAGATCAAACAAATCAGGGAGGAGAGATCAGATTCTCTTCCTGATTGGCTGCAGCCATTTCAGGGAGAAACCATTGAAAAAAGTGGAGGGGGGGAGAGATTAGACAAATCCCAGTTTAGAAATATTTTCAGAGAAATAATGGAAATTGTAGGCTCGTTATGTGAATGCTCGTCTAAAGACTGATTTCCACGGAATGCATTGTGTTTAGTAAGCAGGACCTGTGTGTAATTGCAAGTACTGTACTGTACAGATGCATGGTGTGTCCAGATCATTAATCAAAAAAAACTGAACCTACTCATAACTGCTGAGCCTTTTCCAAAGCAGGTGAGAGGCCAGCATACCACAGGAGCCTCTCCCATCCTTGCCTCACTTTGCTTAATAGTAGGGCCAATCTTAAGCCAATCTCCTACCCTGAGACACGTTCATACCCCAAATCTGCCACCTGAGGTCACTGCCTCACCTCATCTCAAGGTAGGGCCACCTCTGCTAGCAAGCAGACAGTGTTTTCACAAATTGGTCTTGCAGAAGTTTCTCCAGTAAATCCAAGGTTGAGCAACCCAATCTAGCTCTCCAAAATAATTTGCCTTCACCTCAAGGTATGCTTTGCTGAAAGGAAGAGATGCACAGAAAGTTATGATCCATATTCTTTATTGGTTTCCATCGTTTTCCAAAACTGGTACAAAAATGAAAATTGGGGAGGGGAGGGGAATGCAGTCGTGGGGATTTTTGACGTCGCCACCAGACATAATCAGCAGGATAGCTGCTTGCTTGAACAGAGTCCTGCAGCTCAGACATGACCCTCCCCCCCTCTAAAAAGAACCCCACACAGTCACCCTCTCATCCCCACCCTCTCCCACCCATCCACCCACCCGCTTCATAAAAAGTCAAAGAGTTTGACACAAAACAAGCTTTGGTCGCTAGCAGTAAACATGGGAGTTACATTCGTTTTGTCTCCTAGTACACAATCATGTAGCCACGCAAGAAGTCGCCATCATCCCCCCCCCACCCTTCCCACCCCCAATACATTCAGTGCTCCCTATTCCACAGTGACCCTGAGTGCAGACTTGGCACCAGCCTGACTGCAATGCACACTGCTTGCCCCTAATGCATAGTGTCCATCACTGTCTAAAATGGTAATGATATTGCCTATTCCAAGCAGTGATTTATTTGCAAGACCAAGCTGAAGAGTTTTAGAAAACATCTTGTCATTTTTAAAAAAAAAAGGCCTGGGAGACTGACCTAAAGAATTTCCAAAACAATTCTGCAAACTAATGGGTGGAAGAAGCTGCAATCAACCCCCCCCCCAAAGAACATTGTTCCTCTTGGCTTGCAGATAAATCACGGTTGTTTCAGAAGTCCAATTCTCTCATTGGTTGTAGGAAGATATGGGAAATTCCCCCCACCCCTTAACCAGCTCTCATGTGGCAAAGTTGCAAAGTGGCAAGGTACAAAGAGGGTGCCCCCCTCTATGCCCCTCTGGTGCAAATGCCCACCACATGCTTTGGCTATTTCCCACACCCTCAAGTTTGTAAACAATCATCAAAAAGGAAAACTGGAAATAAGCCAGAAAGATTTACATAAGATATTTACACATACTAAATATCTAAGAAGGAAATGGGGGGGAAACAATGCTACTGTATTTTACTTTATTTTTAAGACGGATACAAAACTAGAAGGGGTAGCATTTTAATCTTTGGACACACTTTAGGGAAGCATCCCTTTTCTTCTGGCAACTCAGAGCAAGCTATATAAACCAATGCATTTGGCCCCATTGACACAAGACACGTTAACCTGAGGTAGATAAGGTAAAGATCCCCACAGCAATTTCAAAACTAACATCCTGTATATTTCACAGCTCCTCGCTGCAATCATTGCAGGAGAAGGAGGGAGAGGGAGGTGGGAAGAGACAGAGAGCACTCTCAGCTATAGGCAAGTGAGTGTTATCTAATATCAGCTTTTTGTTTTTAGTTTTCAAATTCCACTGCATGGCTCTGTAGCAGCTGGTAATGTTGGCTCTTGATAATCAGCCCACAACCAACACTTTCTTCCACTAGCAAAATGTTTGCAGTCCATCCAGTAAGGGAAAGCATGCAGAGCTGCTATGTGAGTTATGATATTTAAGAAAAAATGCTTGGCAATGCAGGTAATTTAGAAATGGACGGGCCCACCATAGATAAGTTATTCAAATATACTGGATAGGAAACTATCTGTGGGAAATGGCTGATGATCTAGAGATTAACCAACAACCTTACATGTTTTTAAGTTCCCCCCAAATATCGACCTGTAAATTCACATCTCAGGAAAGCTGGCCAGGCTGATCCCCTTACTCTAGTGTAGAGGTTTAAGAGGCTTAAAAACTTCCAACCTTGAAGAAGCAGCACTTTGCTAAAAGAGTAGAATGCCAGAATTCCTCTTGGGATGCTCTTAATGTGGTTGGACTACAAGAGGAACTCACAAGACTAACTTGGGCACAGGAAAAGGAGAAAAAGCCAGGATGGTATGGAAATCCAAAAGGATTTTGCTGCCTGAACATATTACAAGGAGCCAACCAGGCTCAGCCAGGAGAACTTGTGAGTCAAGATCTCTCTGTCTTCCACTCTGCCACCCTGACTCAGCAGCACCCAACATTCCCTTGCCTCACAACAGGGCCTTGTAGAAAGCCACCAGGGGCCAAATCATTAAGAAATTATGTGTGAGTGCAGTAGCAGCAAGATGCAGATATGGTAATCAGGTGAGGACAGACAGTGTTAAGAATCTTAAGGAATGGTTGGATATCTGGGAACAGAGAGGGCATCCACCCCCAGAAAGGTTAAATGGGCTTGATACGTAAACTGCTTTTGTTGCCCAAGCTTTATGCATCTGGCTGTGCTGTCCCTGTAGCCCCTAAATGGCCCAAAGGTACAACCCAGAGGAGCTGAGCAGGAGTGTCAATGCACAGGAGAAACTTCCCACTGGATTGTACATGAAATCCATTTGTGAATATAGCTAGGGGCGGACGCAGGCCATCTATTCAAATACAGTGTCTAAAAACATCAGTCCCCCCACACGCAGCAAGCTACAATTGAAAAACAGAGACTCTTTTGTTCTTTGTGCTGTTAAATGTAACAATGCCCCCCCAAAGTTTTTAAGCCACAAGGTTCCAATCTGTTCAGCCCCAGAAGGCTGCTGAGGTTCTTCCATCCCTGAGATGTACAAGAATACCTGAGAAATACATTGCAGTAATCATGTCCTCTTTTTTTCCTCTTCTTTTTCTTCCTTTTTTTCTCTTAAAGATTAAAATATACAAAAATACAAAACAGAATATTTATACTTTTCTTTTAAAAAAACAAAAGCAATGAAAACTGAACCCCGTCCCCCAAAAAACCAAGAAAACAAAGAAAGCAAAAAGAAAGCAAACCCAAAGATACGTCATACACGCACGTCGTAGTGCAGGTTTCACATCACGGCTTCAGAGCAAAGAGACACCCACCCACCCTCCCCCATGTGTCTCACACGGCAAGTTAAGCTGTCCTGGGAACGAAATAAATTAAAGGCATCAGTAGGGAAAGCAGGCAGGGGGCAAGGGAACAGCAGCTTTACCTGATGAGTGAAAGTTCGAAAACAAAATGGGAAAGACTCAAACTCAAAACCTTGGTGCTTGAAATTAGCACAGTAGATAGGTCAGGCTTTTTGGAATCAGAAAGTGTAAATTTAAAAATACTACAAACAATACGAATTTAGTGTCCCGTGTTTGTATCTATTACATTCTAGCCAAGTAATATGAAGCAGGTATGTGGCCTGTCAAATGTTGCTGAACTACAACCCCCATCATTCTTGGCTATTGGCCATGTTTGCTGGGGCTGATGGGAGTTGTAGTTCAGTAGCAGCTTCCCACACATGATGCAAAGCAACACATAGACAACAAAGAAAAGCAAGCCATATTTCCAAGTGTAGGTCTCAGGCCTGGTTTGACAGTTAGGGTAGGCCTTTGGCTTGTGGAAATAATTTCTGCGAACCCCAGTACATGCATTATTTAAAATGCTCCTTTTACATATCTGCAAGCAGGCCTACATTTCCTCGAAAACCTGAGGCCTAAATCTTTCCACTTGGCCAAGATGAGTTCCCACATACATATGGGCAGTAAAAAACTTTAGGGGTGACCCACACCTGGGCAGAAAACAGAGGCCACAATATTGTATCTCTCTGTGGTCCCCAAAGGTAGGAAATTTAGATGCATTATTTAGAACAGAGTCCTGAATAAACCCTTAATTCAATAGTGGGGAACCTGCAACCCTTCAGATATTACTAGAACCCAGCTCCCATCAACCCCAGAAGCATGGCCAGATGATGGGAGCTGTGGTCCATTTACATCCCAAGGGTCACAGGATCCCTACCTGTGCCCTAAAGGTCTGACTTAAGTAGACTGTAACAACTGCTTTCTCTGCCTGGCCCACTCCCCACAGCATGCAACCACATGAGAACTGGAGGCAGCTGTTTATTCCTGACAACTTTAACCTGTGCAAAAATCAAAAATCAACCCACCCCTGAACCAGATTTCTCAGCTGCTTTTTTTTTTTAACCCTCAAAATATTATTTGGATTGCTGGAGAAAGCAAAAATGAGAAAGGAGCAGCTGCTTCCCCATTTCCCAGAACTGAACAATTGGGGACAGGATTTGCAGAACTCCTCCCCATGCTGAAACAAGGGGAGGAGGCTGTGTCAACATTCAGCTTTCACTTTCCTGAAGTCTTACACGTTTTCAGAGCTGCTGTTCTCTTCCTAGGTGCCTGCCTTCCCTAAGCCTGGAGGCAGAGGCTATTCACTCTTCCCCCCCACCCACCCACTCTTTTTTTGCCAACTCGATGCCCTGAAGCCTGTTGATCCGGTATATTCCCTACTGATTTCCCAACATCATTCCCTGGTTTCAGGAACAAGGGGTGAGCTGTGCATGTCCTCCTCCTCCTCCCGGAGGTAGGCGGGCTTTCCCTGAGAACTGGGCGACTGCTGCGTTTTGACGGGGCAGTTGGCCACCATGTGAGCAATGCTTTGGCAAAAGTGGCATTTCTTTGGTTGTGGCGGGAGCTTGCATTCTTTGGCGTGGTGATCCAGGCCGCCACAGTTGTAGCATCTGGGAAAGAGAAAAGAGACGGGGAGATGAGGCGCAGGAGAGGTTCAATTTGTTAAAGATCACAAGAAGTCTTCGGCCTTCTCTTTTCAAAAAGCCACAAAACCAACATTAATTTACTTACAAGTTCTAAGTGCTCTGGGTCCAGGATACTCAAGAGTAAAACAACCACAATGTAAAAGAATTAATAATTTCAAATCCTTTAATAAACCAAACCTGGAAGCAGAATGTGCCATCAGGTGCAGCTACACAAGAATCATATACAGTTGTACCTTGGTTCCTGAACGGCTTAGTTGTTGAACAAATTGGCTCCCGAATGCCGCAAACCCGGAAGTAAGTGTTCTGGTTTGTGAATGTTTTTTGGAAGCTAAACATCCAACGCGGCTTCTGCTTGAGTTCAGGAAGCTCCTGCAGCCAATTGGAAGCCACACCTTGGTTTTCAAACAGTTTCAGGAGTTGAATGAACAGATTAAGCTCGAGAACCAAGGTACCACTGTAATTGCAGAGTTAGAAGGTACCCTAAGGACCATGCAGCCCATGGGTAGGCAAACTAAGGCCCAGGGACTGGATGTGGCCCAATTGCCTTCTAAATCTGGCCCGCAGACGGTCCGGGAATCAGTGTGTTTTTACATGAGTAGAATGTGTCCTTTATTTAAAATGCATCTCTGGGTCATTTGTGGGGCATAGGAATCCATTCTTTTTTTCTCTCCAAAATATAGTCCGGCCCCCCACAAGGTCTGAGGGACAGTGGACCGGCCCCTTGCTGAAAGTTTGCTGACCCCTGAATTCTAGCCCAAAGCTGTCCCATATGGGGATAGAACCTGCAACCTTGGCATTATCATCACCATGCTCTAACCAACTGAGCTATCCAGTACAGGTCCCTCCAATTTAAGCATACAATAATTAAGGACACACACCATGTGTATCATGAGTGGAAAGTACACATGAACGCCACTAGGGGGCAACCCTGCTCTGCTATCACACTGTTGACAGCTACTTAAGGTCTCCTGCGGAAGGCAAGATTGATACAGTGGTGAATCCAGAGTCCCTAAGACGGTTGGATGGTGCCTTCTGGCAACTCCTGCAGCCAAGCTGGTGGCAAATGTATTGCTCTGTTTTCCTTTGGACCTTTTCAGCAAGGCCAGGCCGGGGGGGGGGCCTTGCTGTGTGGGCCTCCATACACACTGCTCAGGCTTGTGCCCAGGGAGGTCACTTGGGTGCTGCTAATGCAGCGCTTTGACTTCACCCCCAGAGGCACACTCCCTTGTCTCTTGAGAAACACGGATGCCAACAATGTTCACCTTCATCTCTAAACACAGGAGGGCATTCCTCATGAGGAGGCGTACAATTCACTGACAAAGAACATGCTTTTCATGTATGTATGCATCCACCCAAGCACATTTCTCTGCCAGATGCATTTAAAAGAATCCCGGGTTGCAAGATCTTAAGCTGCTGACATTCAAAAGCAGTCAATTCTGCACAAAGCAGACCAATGGCTGAACTCAGCCTCCCCCAACCTTCAGGTGTTTTGGATAACAACTCCAATCAGCCCCGGTCAGCATAGCCCACGGTCAGGGATGATGGGAGTTGTAGTCCGAAACACAGACCCATATTATGGTGTCTCTTTTCTTTTTCTGAGCAAAGGGGAGGGGGTCTTAGGGGAAAAGAGACCGATCACAGCTCCATCCTGCAAACACACGTTTGCAGAACAGGAGCACCAGCCCGTGCTATTCAGCCCCTGGGTGCTTCTGACCTCTGACCTTTCACTTTTGAGTTTTTTGCCCTTTCCTGGGAAATTTGCATCTGCCATTCATTTAAAAGGCTGAGGGAAGCCCCTAGCACAATGTAAAGGCTGCTGCCCAATCCCTGTCCGGAGGAGGCAAAAGCCACTCAAGATCTTTTGAGTTGCTTGGGCTCTGGCCTTAAAGTAACAAACTCTAGCAAGGTAGCATTCTTGATGCCTGCTACTGTACTGTGGGGAATGGCCCTTTAATTGTAGTGACGGCAGCCAGCCAGCCAGGTTGGACAGCAGCTGAAGGTCCTGGAAGCCACATTGCCTCTTTGCCACTCTCCCTATTGGGCCTCTGGGCACTGATTTTTAGCAGCGAACAGTCAGCACTGCCACTTTTGAATGGGGGCAAAGCTTGGCTCCCACCTGCAGTGGACAACCACCAACTAAATTTGCCCCAAATGCAATGCCACAGCCTATAGATCTATTACATAGATTCCATAGGCCCAGGACACTGAATTGGGGGGAGGGGAGTGAAAAACCCAGAATGCCGAGAGGCTCATGTCTGTCCTGGGGTCTCGCCCTGTTTTGGGAAGGGGCCTCAGGTTTGACCAAGGACAATCCTGAGACCCACCCTCCCCAAAATGTGTTTGGGGGAGGAAGCAAAATAGATGTCTTTGTTGCCTCACAGTAGTGGCTGATATGGAAACCAGGCCTCTGCAGGACTGGGAAGATTAGGCCTTGCTGGGGAGAAACCCTAAACAGCCTGGCTTGGGATTTCTCCTTCTCTTCTCACGCCCACTTCCCTTCGCTCCACTGCTTGAAGAATGGAAGGGAATTGTTTTTCCGGAGACTACATGGATGGAAAGTTCCTCTGATGCAAGAAACAATTGGTTGCTGATTTTGAAAGATGAATTGAATAGTGGGACTTTTGGAATCATTAGTAATACTGCACTGGATTTGTTTTTTTACTGTGGTCACATCGGTACCTTACATTTAAAGCACTGTTATACCATTGTGTCTTCTCCCAAAGCATCCTGGGAACAAGTTGGTTAAAGGTGCTGAGAGTTTTTAGGAGAATACTTCCCCACAGAGTTCCCTGGGAAGAGGGACTGACTGTTAATCCAACTCAGGGAATCAAGTTTAACTCTGGGAATCACCTCTTCCCTGCCAAAAAATCCAGGAGACCAATCTATGACTGATGCAGGCAACCAGACCTCTGGCATGCAGAACACCCAAGGTCTCATAAGCACAGCAGCTGCTTGTTTCCTTGCTTGTGCCAAGCCTTACCTATCTCCTTTCGGCCTGCGCTTCTGGAGGTTTTTCCCCTTTGGTCTCCTCTCGCTGCCGATGCAGAACACTCCCCCTGGGCCGGTGACTCGGATGGACTCCAAACCCTTGCACGACTTCTTGAAGGTGAATTCGACTGCCTCTCCTTCCTTCAGGCTGCGAAAGCCTTCCATGTGGAGCTTGCTCTGGAGGCCAGGGGGGGGAAACAGAAAATTATCCTGTCTTTGATTTTGTTCCCTGGATCTCGTAAATTAAGTTTAATGTTCCCATCAATGCATAACCCCATATGTTATCATACCATTCTTTAACAGTAGCTGATCACCATTTTCCTGCATATACAATTATTAATATTTATTAATTATTATTATTATTATTACTACTACTACTACTACTACTATTATACTAGAACTCAGACAGGCCTAGCTCAAACTTCTGCTTTATAGCACATTTGCAGAAGAACCCAGGACAATAAGAAATAGAAAGCATGTGCCAGAACACACGCACGCACAGAGATTTCAACTAATTAAAACTCAATCAGCTACATTGAAAGTCTCCATTGAACCACTGTGCTTGTAACATCTGCAGAGTGCCCCGATCAGGTCTCTAAGGGTCATCCTCTAACGCTTGCTCCGATTCATTTCTCAGCAATAAAAATGGATCGATGGTTGTGTATGTGTGTGTCCCTGGAGTGCTCAGTTTGCCATTGTGACATCACACCTCCTCCTTTTTACCTTTGATAGAGAAACATTTGTTGTTTAAATCCTGAGTTCCACAACCGTTTTATCTAAGGTGACATAACCGTGGAACTTCCTAAGTTTTTCACAAGGAGAAGACTTTTCCACTGTTGCCGAAATCAGACTCTGCTAGTAAAAAAACACACCTCAAAGTGAGGTAGTGTAATCTGGGTCCCATCTGCACTATATTTTTTAAAGCAGCATCATGCCAATTTTAACACTCATAGTCTAGGGTTGCCATATTTCAAACAGTGAAAATCGGGCAGAAAAGTTCTTGAGTGCTTTTTTTTTCTTTGCCAATGTTGTTGAGGTTTTTTAGCAAATTCATATGGAACCATTAGTGTGCCCCCCAAAGCATCCCGGGAACTGTCTCCTACAATTCCCAGAGTTCCCTGGGAAGAGGGACTGTTAACCACACTGAGAACTGTAGCTCTGTGAGGGGAACAGGGGTCTCCTAACATGCTCCCCATACAAAAGATGGAAAGAATGAGGGTGAGAGATAGCAAGTGAGGTTATGGTTAAAATTAGATTAGCACTGGGGACTTATTAGTTCACCCTCCCTATTGCTACCATAACCAACAACAGCAACACAGCTAAAATACAGTGTGTGGTAAATTATGGTGTAAAGTGCCACCTCAGGATTAAAAGGAGCCCTATGGTCATTTTCAATCTGTTTTGGGAAAAGTGAAAATAATATATTTCTGCCTATCCTGTGTTAACCATTTCCAAGACTTGCTGAAGTAGTTCCCACTATGATTCCTTAGTCAGACAGGCCATCTGCTGTACACAACAGTTCCTTAGAACAGAAGGGTGGTTTTTTAAAAAAATAATAATGAATGGAGCATGCCCACCATTCATGAGTTGCTCAGTAACCTAGATCATGTGACTGCACTTAACTTCCCTCTGGCCGAGTTGCAGGGAAAGCCCATATTTAAAAATGGTGCAGAGCCATTGTGTTGATTGGCCATCTCACAGTCAGTGTCGGCTCTCTCTCCCCAAAGCAGAGAGTATTTAATTATCTTCTTCTGTATCCTCTCTGCTACCAAAAAGCATTGGCCCCTCGGCCATTCTAAATGCACAGAAACTTTGCTTGTTTGCCAATTCAATAAAATGCAAGTGTATTAAAAGTAAAACAAAGTAAGATGCAGGCTGATGAAGTTATTCCAAGAATGAAGCTGTAATAAAGAAGTCACATTTAATTTGCAATCCTAAACACTAGACACAGTGGGGCTTACTTTACACTAAACATACATAGGATGTGCAGTTGTTTTAACATGTTTTTTTGCTAACCTGGTGCCTTCCAGATGTTTTGCACTATAACTCCCATCAGCCTTAACCCTCATTGCTTTTGTCGGACTGGAAAGGTGTGCTTGAACTCTAATAATGCCTCCTGCTTTGCTGGATGGAGAGGCGAGAGGGAGTGCAGAAACACACTTTCCATACATAGGTAAAGTTTCAATCCATTGCTCTTCCCTCTTTTGTCTCTGGCCCCACTCACCCCTGGAATGTGGCCCCCAGACTGAAAAAGATTCCCCTTCCCTGATTTGCAATCATTGCACCCACAGAAGCAACTGGGCAAACCATCGAAATGGAATGAAAACTGGGGGCACCTTGTGGTAGTTCCAAGAGGTGCATTCAAGTCTCACCTTTGGCATGGCCTCACCACATAGACCTGAGCATGGGTGTCCAGAGGTAGGGGCAAGGGGGCATGCACCCATCACCCCAGGCAAACCATAACCCACAATTGCCTGCTTTAGCTGTTTTTTTACAGAGTAAAGTTCTAGTATTTGTGGAACCTGAGATAGGAGGCCACTTGCCCCATCCCGAGTGGAGCTCAGGCCACCGCACCAGAAACCTGGGCTGTGTACACACCATACAGTGGTACCTCTGGTTACGTACTTAATTCGTTCCGGAGGTCTGTTCTTAACCTGAAACTGTTCTTAACCTGAAGCACCACTTTAGCTAATGGGGCCTCCTGCTGCTGCCGCGTCACTAGAGCACGATTTCTGTTCTCATCCTGAAGCAAAGTTCTTAACCTGAAGCACTATTTCTGGGTTAGTGGAGTCTGTAACCTGAAGCGTATGTATGGACTCAAGGGCATCCTGATCAAATTTGCAGATGACACCAAACTGGGAGGGGTGGCTAACACCCCAGAGGACAGGATCACACTTCAAAACGACCTTGACAGATTAGAGAACTGGGCGAAAACAAACAAGATGAACTTTAACAGGGAGAAATGTAAAGTATTGCACTTGGGCAAAAAAAAATGAGAGGCACAAATACAAGATGGGGGACACCTGGCTTGAGAGCAGTACATGTGAAAAGGATCTAGGAGTCTTGGTTGACCACAAACTTGACATGAGCCAACAGTGTGACGCGGCAGCTTAAAAAGCCAATGCAATTCTGGGCTGCATCAATAGGAGTATAGCATCTAGATCAAGGGAAGTAATAGTGCCACTGTATTCTGCTCTGGTCAGACCTCACCTGGAGTACTGTGTCCAGTTCTGGGCACCACAGTTCAAGAAGGACACTGACAAACTGGAACGTGTCCAGAGGAGGGCAACCAAAATGGTCAAAGGCCTGGAAACGATGCCTTATGAGGAACGGCTAAGGGAGCTGGGCATGTTTAGCCTGGAGAAGAGGAGGTTAAGGGGTGATATGATAGCCATGTTCAAATATATAAAAGGATGTCACATAGAGGAGGGAGAAAGGTTGTTTTCTGCTGCTCCAGAGAAGCGGACACGGAGCAATGGATCCAAACTACAAGAAAGATGATTCCACCTAAACATTAGGAAGAACTTCCTGACAGTAAGAGCTGTTCGACAGTGGAATTTGCTGCCAAGGAGTGTGGTGGAGTCTCCTTCTTTGGAGGTCTTTAAGCAGAGGCTTGACAACCATATGTCAGGAGTGCTCTGATGGTGTTTCCTGCTTGGCAGGGGGTTGGACTCGATGGCCCTTGTGGTCTCTTCCAACTCTATGATTCTATGATTCTATGTAACCCGAGGTACCACTGTACATTTAAAGCACACACCACCCTGCAAGAATTCTGGGAACTGTAGTTTTTGAAGAGTGCTGGGAACTGTAGCACTGGGTGGGGTAAAAGGACAGCTCCCAGGATTCTTTCAGGGTGCTCTAAAATGTATGGTGCACAAACTGCCTTAAACACCGGTTTCAACTTAGGCTCTCTAAAAGTCATCAAAAAGCAAAATGTACTTCTCTGTTGACTAAGCAAACAGGTCAGACTCCTGGTACTTTTCAACCAGACCTGGGAAGGAAGAAGCATGCAGCTTTCCCCCATTCAGCACTTTCCCTCTACAACTCCTTCCCCAGCCATTTCCCCCTTGACACAGCAAGCACACACCTAGGAGAGGGTTGTGTTGTCATGTGGCAGCACTCCCTTCCCCAACCCATCCTTTCACCTCTCTCCTTTGCAGCTGTTTGACAGTAGCCAGAGTCCCATATCTGCCTCTGAGCCCTCTAGCCTGGCCCCTTACACCCTTTGCATTATTACCTGCTCTGTCCTTGCAAAAACAGGGCCAACCCAGTCACACATTTTTTTTGTTGGTCTTTCATCAGATAGCTTGCCTTAGCACTCCCAGTAATCAGTCTATTTAGATTGATAGAACAAAACCTTTACCCCTTATCGGCGTTCGATTCTAATCACAAATGGGGCATATCTTTGACATTTTGAGGCAACGCAAGCATATAATCCTTGCTGCAGATTGGCATATCAATCTATTGTTGGCATGGATTGAGAGTGCTGGGGCTTCTACAAGCCTTCCTTTGATGTCAATGTATGAGGTTCGATCAAATGATTTCCAAATCCAATTTCACCCCGGCCACAGATGCTTCACAGTGGTGTCTTCTCATGCAGCTGGGAGGGAGGATGCTGAAGACTCTCCCCCATCTCAGTAGAGTTGCACCATTCACACATAAGCACGGAGCCATATGGGGCCGAACCACAAGAGAAGCGTCTCCCACCTGGAAATGTGAATCATAGCCATATCCTGAAGGACAGATTAATCCCAGATGCCAGATGTGCCCATTTTGAGAACAGACGGGTCTACTGAATTGTAAACTTTCAAACAGGTACTGCAAATAAATACAACTCCCCACCGACAAGCCTATTTAGCCTTATCTGTTACCCTGGGAATGCCTATAATGACTGGGACCTGCAACAAAACATTACAGCATGGACTGTACCCCTGGCGGCCACTTTAGTGCTTCTAAAGACAGTGATGGCCACAAACTTGGATGGCTTTAGGATTAGACAAATTCATGGAGGAGAAGGCCATCAGTGGGAGCCAGCATGGTGTGGGAGCCAGTGTGGTGTAGTGGTTAAGAGCGGTGGACTCGTAATCTGGTGAACCAGGTTCACTTCCCCGCTCCCTCCACATGCAGCTGCTGGGTGACCTTGGGCTAGTCACACTTCTCTGAAGTCTCTCAGCCCC